GTTTTTCAGATTATGCCTTTATTGTTTTTATATATATAGTACTGATACCATATTTTTTTCATATGTTTTATATACTGTACCCACTTAAATTAAACTCTGACACTGTTTGAGATAAAGGTATCAGAACAACTGTACAACATTCAGAATATTATTCCCTATGATGCACAAGGCTTGTTCTTTCTGATTATGCCTTTATTGTTTTTATGAATCCATATTTTTCATGTTTTATATACTGTACCCACTTAAATTAACTAAACTCTCTGACCCCCTTTGAGATAAAGGTATCAAACCAACTGTAAAATATTCAGAATATTGTTCCCTATAATGCACAAGGCTTGGTTTTTCAGATTATGCCTTTATTGTTTTTATGAATCCATATTGTTCATATGTTTTATATACTGTACCCACTTAAATTAATTAAACTCTGACACCGTTTGACATAAAGGTAGGGGCGTGTTTGTTTTGGTGATTTCAAATATCAACATTGGCTACCAGAAATCGCTTACTCTGCCTTTAAGTACCGGTTGTACCGAGCACCCGGTCAACCCGGTTCTTGATGTGCTATCCGAAAGGTGCGCAGATGCGTTCTCTTCATGAAAGCACTGAGACGTGGCGACCTCAAAATGAGGAAACACACCAAACTAACAAAACACTTTAAAGACAGACACCCAGATCAAATGAAAGAGTTCAAGCAGGTAAGTTTCATAGTGTTTCCCATACATTGATTTATTTGTGGCGCCCGCCACAACATCAAAACGGACCGCCACAAATAGATTTTCCAAAAGGCTTTGACTTCCTTGAATAAACATGAGCACTGCACGTGTCAAAGTCGAAACCCGGTGCAGGTGTTTTTATATCACTGTATTTCTGAAGGAAACGACTGTCTTCAGAAAATTATGGATGTCATTCTCATTTCATCTTGCCTGTAATGCCTGAGCAGCGTTTGTGAGCGCAGCTCTTATTTGATTACAGCCGTTACTGGGGAAACCTCTATCTCTCCTGCTTTACAAGCTCCTCCTGCTGGCAGAGAATGAATTTGCATATATATGCCGCCAC